CACCCCCACCATCCCTTCTCCTCCAACCATCCCTTCTCCTCCAACCACCCCCACCATCCCTTCTCCTCCAACCACCCCCGCCGACCCTTCTCCTCCAACCACCCCCACCGACTCTTCACCTCAAACCGTCTCCTGCCGACACTTCTCCTCCAACCACCCCTGCTGACCCTTCTCCTCAAACAATCTCCACCGACCCTTCTCCTCCAACCGTCCCCCGACCCTTCTCCACCAACCGTTCCCCGCCGACCCTTCTCCACCAACCGTCCCCACCGACCCTTCTCCTCAAACCTTCCCCGCCGACCCTTCTCCTCAAACCTTCCCCGTCGACCCTTCTCATCAAACCTTCCCCTGCCGACCCTTCCCCTTCAACCATACCCACCATCCCTTCCCCTCAAACCACCCCCACCATCCCTTCTCCTCCAACCACCCTGACAAAGATATTATGGACACCCAGAGCACCACTTTAACTTATATCAACCTTTAGCACACTTCAGCCTAACTTGTGTATTATCTCTCTTTGTATCCTCGGTTTGGGAACTCGTGGTTTTGTTTAGGCTTCATCTTGCCGAGATTAATTATTTTGTGCCAAGGACACTTAACTTTAGTTTTAAAACAATTTTCCCATGATGTTGATTTCACAATATATCCAATACACATTTTAATGAGGAGTTAACACCCAGAAACGCCTAAAATACATTATTAATGATGATGGAAATAAATATCGGTTGTTTATCCAAATAAAGTGGAAACTGCTCTACAGACGCACTTGTGTCCACGACACTTTCTCCAGCATTATGCTATAGGGGTGCACCGTTACCTTCATCTAGGATAAGTACCATCCCTTTTCCTCAAACCGCCCCCACCATCCCTTCTCCTCAAACCACCCCCACCATCCCTTCTCCTCAAACCATCCCTTTTCCTAAAACCACCCCCACCATCCCTTCTCCTCAAACCACCCCCACCATCACTAAGGTCGTTTTAGGCCGAAACATGTAAGCAAATACTACGGTTTGGATTAAACTAAGGCTGTTTTAGGCTGAAACATGTAAGTTATCACTACTGTCTGGATGAAACTAAGGCTGAAACATGAAAGCGAATACTACGGTTTGGATGAAACTAAGGCCGTTTATGCTGAAATATGTAAGCTACGACTACTGTTTCAACACAAAGGCCATTTTGGGTGAAACGTGCATGTTATTACTACTGTTTAGATGAAACTAAGGCTGTTTAATGCTGAAACACATAAGCAATTATCGCTATTTAGCAAAACTAAAGCCACTTTAGCCTGAAACACATAAGCTGCTACTACTACTCCTTGGAAACTAAGCTGTTTTAGGCTACAGAGTGTCAGCTATGACTACTGTTTAGAAAACTAAGGCCGTTTTAGGCTGAAACGTGTAAGCTATTACTACTATATGGACGAGTTGGCCTTTCAATAAGCTTGTGCCAGTATTTGCTTTCTGCTATCACTGGAGCCCCGAGAAGGGAGATTTTTTTAACGTGCACACGGTAATGGCTGAGTGCAGGGGGTGACATACGAGGGGGAGTGGCCTATTAGAGATTTACTAAGGCACAGAATTGGCCAGAGCTGGGTTAATCTTTCAGATCTGTATTTGTACATTTCATCATCTTTCATACTAAGGAAATTACATAATGAAACAGCAATAACGTGTTCACCCCTCACCCCCCCCCCGAAATGATGTGCGTAATAATGAAAAGGACAAAAGGAACAAACAGGAGCAAAGAACAGAACAAGGCCGACACTCACTTCACAGCATTGTATTGTCATCATACGAACGTCAATCAAAACATAAAAATCTTAAAGCCAAAATCTTACATTTTCTCCCATCAGCTCATTCACATGCCCCCCCCCCCCTATAAATAGATGCAG